AGAGAGAGAGAGAGAGATATGAAAATCGCATGTTATGCGTTTGCACTCTTAGAAATGGCGAACACGTAATTTGAAAGTCTAAAGTTCTTCATTTTCCACAGCAAAAGTTGTACATCGTTGCACTTGCTCCACGATATTTAATTAATCGCTCACTGCACTCGAAGTTTAAGGCCATAATATTGAGTTTAATATACGTGCGCGAAGTGCAAAATTAATTTTGCTTGGCTAAATTCCTCATCACTAGGCAACTTCATGAATTGTGACATTTTACGAATAGATGTCCAAATTCTAATACGATTTTCTTAGATGAATGTTTGATTAAGCAAACTAATTCTTCTTTCTAAATAACTAATTAATTCTGATTTCACATTGCTAATCATCAGCAACTTTTAATGTCTCTATACTCTATACTCTAATGTAAACTATTAGCGCGTTATTAGTTTGAGAACTCGCGAGTGATTTAAAGTCTATTAAAAACTAAAAGTAATTTAATTTATTGAGTTTTATCTCCGGTTATACGCCAGTTATCTGAATGTCACCATGATCCTCTTCAATTAGATATGCCATCCATTCTGTGTAACTTGGAAACCGCATCAGGCTGTCAGATCCTATCCTATCCAGGTATCCAAAGCAACTATACTAGTGTGTTGAAAATTAATTACTTCTCTACAATCTTTGTTTGACAAACATTTTGTGCCAATAGCATATCATTTTCTGTCATGTATGATATTGCTGCAAGTTGTAACGTGGAATGGGATAAATTAATGATTAATCATTTCTTTTGATATTAATTGTTCTTTCAGTATTTTTCTGAATGTTTTTATTTAATTGTAGCACAATTCTTCTATTTAACAAAATAAACTTAATGTTCATTTAAAGAATAATGCAATTTAAAAATTTTCGAATTGCGAATCTTAAGAGAAACTTACTTGAATTCACTTTAAAGATTTAATGTTTAGAAGACGTAAAATTTGAAGATTTAGTAATTATGTTAAAATGGAAAATTTTACTTATCAAGAAGAATTAGGATCGCCTGTATAATATCGTTTCGATAATTTCAAACTGGAATATTTTATAATTTAAAGTTTCGCATGTAAAATGTTTTAAGAAATTAAGAATTTCATGCTTTAGGAAAAAAATATTTCTTTAGGAAAAAAATATTTCTTGTTTCTGAAATTTTTCTGAAATTTTCTGAAAGAACCATGTATAACAAAAATTTTGTTATTTCCTCGCAAAAATCTTGGCAGAATTTTTATTTTACTTTTCGTGACTAAACTTTGCCTTTGTCGAAAATTCATTCTATTATTTACTATATTCCATGAACTCTCTTCTTTTTGAAGATTGGATTTCAACGAAACAGAATTTCGACAGCATAAGTGATATGCGAGACTCAAACCGTCCTAATCGCAGAATACTAAATTTTTTAGCACATTGAAATATAAATTTTTCGCCATTTGTATTCAATATCTTTAAAGCAGGAAACACGAGATATATTCGGCAATATATGATGCACTAGTAAATTTTTATTTATTTTTATATTATTAGTTTATATAAAATTTTTGATAAAAATTATATAAATAAAATATATAAAACAAAAGTATGCAAAAATAGTTTTTTATTTTATCTTATTTATATTTTTATATTTTATTTTCATATTTCATTTTCTTTGTTGAACTCCGCGAATATTAATAATGTGACGCATTATTTTAATCTTAATAACAAAAATATATTAAAAAATATATTAAACGTGATATTTAATTTCAACTTTGCTAATTATATAATAATTCATATTTGAACACATATATCTCACAAACTTTTTGTTATTAACTAACTTCTTGTTAACTTTTTGTTAAATAATTGTATGATTTTGATAAAAAATCTATAGTACTTTGGAACAAGTTAACTTTCAGTAATGCAATTGATGTAATTAGATTCACTAGCGAAGCTCAGAATGTCTTGAATGTTTTGCTGATTATAATTAAATTAAAACTTGAAATATTTTGATACAACCTGGCGTATGATTTTAACGGATATAAAATTACCAAGCAAACTCTTCAAAAATAAGTATGGAAATATCATGATGAAATTGTAAACATGAGATTGATGTTACAATAAAATCTCTTGAAAATATATTTTAGTGAACAAAATAACGTATATGCTCAGAAATAAATTATGAATTATATGACGAAATTTTTTTATAAATGTTTTGAGAAAGAATCTAATTAAGAAATGAAAGAGAGGACTAGTTATTAGGGAAAGATATTTTGCAATTTAATTTATTATAAAAAATTAATTAAATTTGTATCAAATTTGTATCAAAAATTATAAGGCAGCATATATTATTTACAAATTAAAACATTTATATCATTGTTTTTGCACTGTTATCTAATTTAAAGTGAATGTTTCAGTTGTGTTAATGTAAATATTTTTTTAGTTGGTTGTTTGTTGTGACACACAGGTTAGTATGACTAGAGAAGCCAATCTTTAAAATATTATGTCAAACAGGTGCTGAGAAACATTCCAGGCATTATAGTTTCTGCTTTACGAGTGTGATATTATTAGAAGTTTGAACAACATAGTAGACAAACCGAAATACCTGCTCAGAATAATTTTATCAAATAGGAATGTGATGTGCATAAAATCAAATTAATCTGAAAATATTTTTGAGATTAAATACACAAACGTAAGAAATTTTAAATAACAAGAAACATTTAATTAAAAAAAAAAAGAAAAACATACGCGTATCTGACTTAATTATGTTATTGTGTAATCTTGACTCAAGAAGATTTTAAGAAAAAAAAAAATAAATTTAATACAAAACTAAATCATATATTTATTTACATATATATTTATTATTTTTTTATCTATATATTATTAATATATTTATTATTTTCTTTATAAAATCATTGAGAAGCGTATGTCAATAGCGCGAAATAAATTAAACAAAAATCCTTCATTGAAAAAGTATTAATAGATCTAAGATCCTTAGCTTTTCTCGAGCAGAGCAACCTGATTATGCTTTTATTAATATTAATCGTTTTGTTTGTGTCACTTTTATATTGCACAGAAGAAGCTTAAACGAGAATGCATAAGGTCGCAGGAGTACACGACGGATAATTTGCATGGTCGTAAGGATAACAAATGATTCTGTAAATCATTCTGTTAAAAATCGCTAATGACCGACGTCGCTTACATCAGGTCAGTTTTTCCGACTCGTAATGCTATTCATTTGGAAAGCCGTGCAAGTCGGAAACGAGTCTACCAAGCTCGTTTTCGGTCATAAGCGCGGTGGTTTAATTATACCTGCGAAGCTGGGCTGGCCGATCGATTCCCTCCCTTCCTCCCTTTCTCGTGAGTACATTTACTTGACCCAGCGGTTGGTCTTGACAAAAGGATGAGATCTCGAGTCCCGAGAAATGCGTCTCGATTAATTCATTCAGTTGTGTAATTTAAAGAACTCTTTAAATTAGGATCAAATTTTCCACGGAAGCCCTGGTTGCCTTGGAAGAAAGTAATACGTGCTTCAGATGCAAATGTAACTTGCGAAATATTTTTAATAAAAGTTTAGAGATTCTTATGATTAAATTTTGATACGAAAAACTCTTAACCTTCGTGAAATATTGAGTAATCCTCAGTCTTTTTTTTTTTATTAGAATTTTAATTTGGGAGAGATACTTAAAATTTACGAAAAGAATTATATAACGCCAGATTTATGGTATTATTTTACATTATAACTAGAGCAGAATTTTTGTCAAAAACAGATATTCATATTCAGTTGGAGATAGGAAATGTATGTAATGTACATCTGTGATGCTTTTGTTTATATCGCAATTAATTTTATATTTCACGCGTGTATACATATACTTAGCGGTATAAAATTTAATACGAATATATTAACGATTTATCACAAAAACTGTCATATACGTCACGTTCAAAAATTCGATAATTATGCGCTTGGTTAATTACGTATTTTGTTTGTTTGGGGAAGATATATTGATCAATATATATATATATATATATATATATATATATATATATATACATACACATAATTCGTAAAATTACTTTCGTGTAACGAAACACCATTTGCGCGAGATCTCATTATAGCACATAACTGGTTATGCATAATGCACAGTACATTTGTTACGACGATATTTGCATGGCGATTTGTAGTCGTCAAATATTGTCGCGATAATTTTTTCCGTGTTGAAGAAGCCACGGCAATTTTCCCTGCCGTTTAATCATCCGAATCCGTCGACACTTTTGGATGACAAATTATGGCGAGTGATGGTCGCCCATTCCAACTGACCCTTTTCGTCTTCGTTATTCAGGTGAAATAACAGTCCTTGGAAGGAAACGGACTCGGGAACGGCATCTCATTTGTATGTCTGTCCCTTCCATTTCTTGGCTTCCTCCGTTCTCGTATTATTAGTGCCGTTTGTACCTTTGCGTATTAATACTCGGTTGTTCGATATATTTTACGTAAAAGTGAATTATGAAAATAGTTTTCAAAGAAACCAAAACGATGGACTGGTAATTAAATATTTTTTTAATGAAACGTTCAGCTTCTCATATTTGACCAGTGCCACTAACTGTGCACTATAACGACAGCACTCAAGTCGCATACTGAAATTATTGTTGTACAATATATAGTTCGACGTTGAATCGATGTCGCTTGGTAATGGAATTGAATATTTAACTGGGTGATATTGGTTTAGCTATCATCAATTGTCGTTTATCTACGCCGTGTTAGCGGCGTAATAACGTTGTACAAAAGTCGGCGGTGTCATGTGCACAGTGCAAAGTGCTTGCCTTAGCTAAGTGATTACATCGCATTGCACTGACAAGCTGATGGAACAGAATAGAAAAGTACATTTTGCGTTAAGTGCCGGATTTTACAATCGTTACATCGTACCGTGCTACACGCAATACAGATTAGCTGTCAACATATATCAATTTGTAGGTCAATCAGTACTGATTGTAATTCTACCATAACCATTTGTCATGCGAGGACTAAGCCATATGATATTGATTATCCATAGTAATCACTTTTAAATTTGAGCTATAATTATTTATAGCTCAATTAAAGTATTGTCGAAATTATTCACTTGTCACGCGCGCATTCATAAAAAATATATAAAAAAAGAAATTATATATAATTGTATTAAAAATATTTGCAGACATAAACGTAGACATATATGTTTTTTTTTTCTATAAAGAATATTTATACCATTTTTTACCATTTTATACCATTTTGAAATTATTTGAATTTGTCACTGAGATATTTCTAATTACTTTGAATGTAATTAGAATACTTTGTATGTTACTGATACTTTATATGTTACTGATATATTACAAGCATCATTACTTTATTTTAAATTATTACTTAATTTTAAATATATTTTTGTTTGTATAGTCCTATATTGTATACAATATTATTAAAAATTTTTTAAATTAACGTTATTTCTTTTGTTTTATTGTATTACAGTACCGGATCACATACGACCTCGTGTACACAGTCTACCGGAAAAGGCGTATAATCCTCGAGCAGGCGATGACTTATATAGACTCAGAGCGTTCAGCATCACTCACAAGGGTGTCGTAAACCGAGGTGATTCCATCATTTCCAGACGCAGCAGAAGCAACACTTCGGTTAATAGTAGTAGGTAAGTCATTAAACTGAGATTTTTCGGACTGTCAATATAGAATAATATTAATATTACCATTAAAATGTATTCCAAATGTACTCCCTTGCTCTCCTCGCATCTGTGTGCTATTTCCTCCTGTGGCATCTACTCTGCTTCGCAGAGCTATATGTTTATGTAGCTCGAAATATGAGCACATATGTAACATATACGATAGACTACTGGATCTTATGGTAAACCACAGGAAGATATTGTCGGTAAATATATTAATGTATGAAATGTATCATATACTCCACATAAATATGTATTATGTTATTTCGTGAAAAATAAGTTTTATTCGAATGTTTATTAAATATGCGCAAGTACTTAGATTTGTGTTAGATAATTATTTAAAAATTTTCTGTTTAGAAATTTTTAGTTTCGAAGAGATTTTTGAAAAAGAGACTCGTCATTAAAGTTGACATCTTTTTTCATGATATTTATAATATTATGCACCGTATGTGATATTTATATTACGTATGATATCTATTGTTTATGAATGATATAGTTAACTGAGAAATTTATATTATATATAAAACTTTAAGAAAATTTGTAATAATATGAATAATAATATGAATTTTATCTTATATTTAATTATATCCAACTTAACTAATATGTTTTAAAATAAATCAATTTATTTACTTAGAGCTAAATTTAGACAGACATTTTGATCATAAAAATGTGATTATTATTGAAGTTTATATTAGCTGTTTTAATATTTTATAAAGACAATATGACTTAACATTTTTTTTCTACTACATTTTACAATATGACATCCCGATATAATGTATGGACAAAATGAATATTCATATTTAAATTGTCGCATATATGTTCTTTTGGACGTAAGAAAGTCAAATATTGACACCAAAAACCAACTACTTCTGCTCGTCTCCACGTAAATATTGATTGTGGAAGTTGAACGAAATGAAGCGCCTTACTCGTTTCGTTATGCTTTTCTGATCGTGAAAAAGAGGGGAAAAAAACCATTATAAGGAGAGAAAGGTACATTGACAAAAAGAAGCTCCAAAGCGTCAACAGAGAATTGATACGGAGACATAATAATCCCAAATACGTGATACCACCTTTGACAAAATATTTTTTCGCAAACATTTTCTGCCGCACCTTTCGATTTATTTTCCCTTCCCGTTCTCTTTCTCTTTTCTTTCTCTCCCTCTGTCTCTCTTTCTCTGCCCTTTTCTTTGTTTGTTGCTACCAATTTGGAGAAGCACGCAAGCGAAACGAAGGTGAAAGAAAATTTTTTGCGAGTTCGGACTGGGGGCGTTTAATTCTGCAAGATCTTGTTAGGTAGACCTAATTTCTTTTTGCCATAAAAAGACGGCGGATCAGCAAAGTTTCTTCTTATCTCTGTATACAAAACTATCTTAAAATTATATTAGTCTTAGTCATCGTAAACTTATTTTACTTTTAATTATATCGCAAATTTTTTTATTAGAGCCTTGGAACATTAATTATATTAACATTTATATAGGTAAATAGTTTTTGTTAATTTATTATTTTAATATGAATTTTGTAAACACTTTATAATAAAGTGTTTACAAATTTACATGTTACAATTTATATGTTTTCGTCAAAAATCATATGCATCGTTATGAAAATTTTAACGAGCTTAACTCGCGAGGCGAAATAAACAGACAGATTGCTGCTTCTTCGATAAACTTTTTATTCAATTTAATTTCAATCGCTCCAGTTTAAATCGTGCGTATCAATTTACTTCTTATTTCCCGAGCACCTTCACCGACGTTTCCCGTAATAAATCTCCGACACTTAAATTTTAATGTTTCCCCACTTAGCAAATTAAACGAAGTGAGATGCCAGTTGGAGAGCGGACCGCTTTACCAAGTTACGCATAAATTGCACGTAGAATTCAGCTCGTTCTGCCGTCGAATTATTTTTATTTGCGAATCATATCGGGAACGGAATAACTCTTATAAATAAGCTGCAACTGCAAAGGTCACAAATGCGCTCCCATGAATTGGAAAAACCTTTTCACGCGTACGAAGCACTGTGACAATATAAATATGTCGCTCGGGAACTTGAAACCTCGGAGACTTCAATTTCTTCTCTTAAGATACCGGTGCTTAAAATATGTAAATGTGATCCTCTCTAAAGAAGGTTTATCTTCTATCTTGTTATTTAAAAGTTGACTTGTTGATTTTATAAAATTAATTTTATAAAATTAAGTAATTCAAAAAATAATAACAGTTTTAAAAATATGTTTTTTTATTTATATTTTATATAATAAGGAATTAATAATATAAGTTTTCAATACTATAATTTTGTTTTTTAAATAAATAAAATTAAAGGTGTTAAATCTATATTATTACATTTATTGATGAATAGAAATTATATTTAAGTGATTAAAAAATTTAAAAAATATCCAAATTTTTACAACAATTATATTTACATGTTGTAGCGTAACATATGCGAATCATTATATTGGTTACATGAACATAGAAGTTTGGTTGATAGACAATACACAGTAATTGATTGATGACAGAGCAAAATTACTAAGAGTTGCTGCCAAAAAAGCGGAATGTACTGATTTATATAGTAGACCCTTCTAACTTTCGTATCAGGTACAGTTTTATATCATTTTATATATTAATACGCAAGAAAAAAGAAGTAATGTGATGAAAACTTGTCACTAGACTTGTCTTCCAAAAACTTCATAAAGATATATATTTTATACATTATCAAGAATATTTTTATATTTAAAAAAGTGAAGATTTTATATAACGTTTATATTTTTAAATAGCTTATTTTTTATAATAATCTTTTAAATATTTTTTAAGATAAATTTTCTAAATCTATGTTTTTAAAATTTATAATGAGGGAACGTCATTATTGATCTATTACTTTGAAGTTTTGATAACTTTTGTTGTTTGTGTCACAGTTATTTTTCTTTAGGAGATTTGTAGATCTTTGAGTTACGAAATCTAGTACTGCGATAAAGTTTTGTTAAATAACATCACGTAAATATCCGAAAACAGTGTAATCCGCCCTTGATCCCCACGATAAGAGAAATAGAGATCCGTGTACGCGCGGGGGATATTTATTGTACAGCAACATTTCGATACACCGATAGAAGACTACAAATGTGATAAAGGTTCTTCGATAAATAAACTTTAGAAAAACGAAGTTAATAAGGTTTATATATTTTTTTGCAATTAGCAAAATTGTCGCTTATCTTTATTGTTTTTTCTTTGATCAATAAACTGATATTTGAAAGCTTATTATAGCTGTTCGGTATTTTGAATGATCGATCTCATCTTTGTTCGATGTTTCTTTAATCGATGTACTCTGCTTTTATTGTACACTCACCTAAACAAGAATCTTGTCAAGCTATAACGTATTATGATGGATTAACTATATGCATTCGAGAACAAGTGATAGATACCTTGTTAGCGGATTTCCTTTGATGTTCAAAGTATGTGTTATCCTATAAAATTGTATTCACAAGTTATTTATACACATAGTTCATTATATTGCGAATAAATAATACAAATAATAGAAAAAATTATAATATATTTAGCCAAAAGGAATTTTTTTCAGATACACTCTTGACTTTTGAAATTTGTACAAGCTAATTATGATGAAATACCTAATATACCAAGCGCAAAGATCTATTTTTGTAAAAGATCCCATGTGCCTTAATTTAAAACGAATTTCATGCTTCGCAAATGTCATCTCGTTTCTGTCGTCCAAATATTTGGTCACGTAAAAGATGACCTCTCGCGTCAAATAAGACGAGTCACTGACAATTCACTTTCTATTTCTTTCCTTTCTATTTCGTGCAGGATTTCTGAACGGAAGGATGTCTAAATGATGTATGTGACCTGCTTTTGCGAGGATTCCTGTAAGCGATTCATCTCGATTAAATCAGCTTCAGTCACGCTTTTGTGATTGAGTGAATTAGGAAAGAGAAAGAGAAAAAGACAGATTCGCAGATTCAAATTAAATATATATACATATTAGAAATCTTTTTTATTTTTTGTAATAAATTGCAACAATGAATTTGATATTTTAGGCTTTATAGGATAAAATATAAATTGAATAAATATAATTTGAGAATGTTTCTCTTAAAAATTGTATTATTATTTAATTTACATTAATTTATATTAATAATTTTTTTATATAAGGTAAACATTAGAGTGATCAATCATAGATATATAATCATAGATTTATGAAATGAAATTGCGATCCCGTGTAAAATATTTATCTGCTATGAGTATTGCTCTTTGGTCACGATAAATATTACATGATCAAAGGGATGTCATTTTTCCCCAGCTTTTATGGATTTTTGGAACTGTTTTTTAATCGTAAAAAATAAAAGTAATATGGAACTGAATGCTTCCTGTGAATTATTCGATTTGTGTTTCGCAATTGCAGAGAATCCTCGAGAAATCCCATATCTCCACAAGTATATTTGCTCCATTTGCCTGAGCGACAGGATATTGAAATTCCCTGACCACCGTGCCAAGATCTCAACCCTCTATCTGCACTCTCTCCCTTCGACGGGAGGCAGTTATCTGCTGCGAATTCTGCGTTACGCCGAACTTAGCGTGGCTCTAAAACTTTCACTGTCGCTTATTGCATATCGCGCTATCCCGCAGAGTTCTGGAAGCGCTATTTAATCTTAGAGGGTGTCACCCCTGCCGACTTGCCCGGCATTCTTTTTTATCGTTCGCCCTCCCTTGTTCTGTTATCCTCGATATCCGCCTTCCCTTAAATCGTATTTCCTTTGCTCTTCCTTCTGCCGTCGAGTCGTAATCGCACGTGTCAGCTTAGTTTAGTACTATACAGTGAGAAGGAAAAGAGAAATGATACGAGAGAAATGATACGTGATATTTTAATACATGGGGGTAAAAGTTGCAATGATTTTCTTTTTAAATCTTTTCAGCATTAGCATTACTGGCATGTAATGTTAATAATGTCGTAAGCCGCTTTATTGTTTGCAATAT